AGCAAGATTATAGCATTGATTGCAAGCTGTATGGATGTCTCTGGGGTTTTCGAATTTTAAAACAACCAGAAAGTGCGTGCATTGTATGTTTTTGTTTATGTTTACTTGTCCATAAATTATGATTGCATGTAAGCTCACTGAAATGGCAACGAGCGTATTGCACGTTGACTATGTATGTGCGCTGGGTTCAAATCATGGGTGATCCATTCGTGAAATCTGGCATGTCCGTCTGTTGTCGGCTATTAAGCCCGAAAGATAAACTTTGGTCTTCCTTTGCATTTCCTGTTTTTCTGGGTCAAACAGTGTATCTTATGCCTAAATTAGAATACTATTTTAAGCATGGGACATGAAGTCTTCCGAGAATGCGTAGTATCTTCTACAAGATATGTTAAAGGAAGGTGCTTGGAGGTTGTCAATCCGGGGTACATGTTGGTCCTTCTATGCACTGGATGGCTCCTTACTGACGCGTTCTTCATCCTCATCTAAGTTGCATGAGATTCGATAGCCGTATTTTGTTTTTCAGTATTGTTTTCAACACCATAAAGAAGTCGACTAAGTTGCTAATTAGAATTAGCATAATTAAATTCTTTGCTATTTTAGCTAATGTTGCAGTACTTTGCAATATTTCAAAGCCATTAATCTTCAAACTGCATTAACATCTCCTCTCACTTAGCTCAACTTAATCGTTTTTCCTCCTACCCCATCCTCTTCAGCCTTGAAATTGTTTCCGGAGCAGTCCATTTACGAGCAAGGACCACAGATGAAAATAAAACTGCAGGTCTGCCTTGGGCCACATTGTCGCACCGATGGATTGAAGGCCAACCTCACCGACGGGAGAGGACAGGCCTTGATGGAGGACTTCTCGGACAGCTTCACACTTTACAATATCTTCTGTTGGGATACGGTCACACTAACTGCCACAACGCCACAGGAGCCGGAACCGGTTCGACGCACCATCACTCTAAGCCCTACCTGGGGATATGAATGCAGTAAGGACATTTTTGTTACGTGGGGCCGAATCAGAGAGCCGATTGTCCTCTGCTCACCAACCAGTAAGGAGACAAAAGCGGCGCTGGCAAAGGAAGAGGAATTTGAGCGGATATTTAAAGACGCCAGATGCAAATGCAGCCGACCGGGTGTCACATTTTCCACAGGCTTTCTTCACCTGCCTTCGAATGCCTCGCCTCCCGATAACTTTTCTATCCAGTGTCAGCTGCACGAATGCCAATGGAGCTTTCTTGTTCGGGTTGTGAAGGAAGGTACGATGCAGCAGGTCTCCTGTTTCTAGTCCTCTCCCACAATCAATTGTTCTTGCCACATTTATCCTTTTCATTTGATAAAAATCATATTGCGGCTTTCATGTACATATGCAAATTTAGGACCAGAAGGACCATGTGGAGGCACGACCTCTAGATTAAACGTCATCAATAACTAGAGATTCTTAAGTTGGTTTGGCAGATTTGGTTAATTAATTTAGTTGACCCAACTGTGAAAAAACTCGCGGCATTCGGCGGCATACGAACCCGCATAGGAGGGGGGCCTTTTACGCAAGCTAACGCTCTACCTACTTGAGCTACGAATGTTGCGCTTCACACCGTGAATTTAATCACTTTTGGATCGATATTACTCGCCCAACTTTGCCGCTCATATAGAATTCACCAATACGGGACAGCAAGTTGACTGCCCAAACAGGATTTCCCAAGTCGAATGCCGCGAGTTTTTTTCACAATTTGGTCAACTAAATTAACTAGGGATTCATAAAATATTCTGGCCTGTCATATGCAAGTTAGACTTGTGGTCAATTTGAACTTTCGTCTTTACGACGAATCAGTTAGCCTGCAGATGATGTTCCTCAGTAAACAGAGCATAATTTGATGTCGCGCACTAGTCTCATGTACACTACGACAAGAACTCTAATGACGGAATTTTATGTATAAGCATGAACGTATTTCCATATAGTTGCCTCCTTGATAGTAGATGCTAGGGGTTACTATATTACAGATCACATTTGCAGATGGTGTTATTTAATATTACTACCATGAAGGGCTCCTAAGTTGAGCTTATGAGAACGCAGGTTTACTTTTCAATAGGTCATCACAGAACCTTTGAATTATGACGTTATAAGGAGATTGCAAAAGCATTCTTTACAAATCAAGTGTGGAAATGTTGATTTTACTCGTTTTTGTCACTAAACCATCTTCCTGTAAGAGATACATCTCAGTCCGGAGAGCGATCAGTACGATCCTCGAAACAACACGCCTATCAGTCTGCGTCTGTGTGCTGGCGACGTCTGTCGTT